ATGAATTGGTCCTCAGTGAGTGAGCCAAGTTGAAATCGTTGGCATTCACGGTTGAACATGCCCGCGTATGTGATGGAGTCATCGGTATCACGCTTAGCCAACTGCAGACTTTGTTAACGAGCATTGAACAGAGAGGACTGCTCGTCAAAAACCTGGAACAGCGTTCAGACCGTCTCGTCAAAGATAACGTCGCGTGTGTTCCTTGGAAAGCTGAAGTTGGTGTAGCGTTGATGTTCGAGCGTACCAAATTTGCGCAGAAGCAGCTGGACCTTCCACGCGTCGTCCTGGCAAGCCAATTCAAAGGTGAACAAGTCCTCGTGCCGCTTGTATCAAGATTGGCCTTGGCACCATACAGAAATTCGCTGAGGCCGCTAACCACATGGTCGACTGACTGAGAATCATCACTTGGACCTGCATGAAAGGAAGAAATGGTGAGCTTTTCGGTTAGAACGGAAATCAGTCTTAGTTGTTGCTGCAGCGTAAGCTTTCTAATCGGCGTATTCGTCAGTCATGGTTCGTAAACTCTGTCGCCATAGTTAAGATTGAGGGAACGCCTGATAACTTTGGCACTGGCACGGTTGGAGCACGCCTATGGTAACGGCTTGGAAAGTTGGCCAATCGAACGGATTTGCACTGGTAAGACGGAAATTGAGCGAACGTGAGAACGGGCCTAGTCGCTGAGCCCTTGTAACGGACGACGCTACGCACACGAGAGGAGGGTACGGTAGACGCGTGCCCGTGTCTTAGACGCGAACACTGCCCGACTATCGACGCACACGAAATCTCGTGACCTGACCGACTTCCAACTAACGGCGTAGAGAAAGAAAGGCAAGTGGTCCTCTGAAGGCTCTTTTACGACCAACAAAGGGCAAATTACAGCCAAAGCTATGGGCCACCAGGTTAGGGAAAATAGCTACCACGACGGGTTGATAATTCGTAAAAGAACATTGTCAACAGGTGCGCAGTTGTGCCGCGTCTCGGTGTGACTGAAAACTGCTACGTTGTGAGGAGGATCTGGGCCCCCTTTCCACAACCATTACGCCGGAGTTTGCGGCACCTTTTTGCGGGGATATTTGACGGGCCCGCAAGATAATCGGCTCAATTTGAATGTCTTTTTTGGCGAGCACATCAAACAAATGGTGATGTTTGCGTCCGAGAAAACGAGCAAGCACACAAACGTTAAGCGGCTGTATTAATCTGACAACGACATTGCGACCATTGGCGCATCCGTATCAGAGAAGAATGTCGCATTTGCTGCGGATATGGACAATCCCAACGACTTAGACTTCGTAAATTTCGACTGCCATTGGTATGAACGCTCTGTCGCATGATGCATACGTGATGGACGGAACAGACCAAACAAATGACATGCGGAAAGTACGCGGCTAAAAAAAGGAATTCATTGACCACTTAAAGTTGGTGTATGGACCCAGGTTGCAGCCGTTGGGTTCTCTGTTGTATGCTACTTTAGACGCTGCTTGCACCTTTATCGCGGCCAACGCAGATGTGGCGAATGCGCGTTCACCGTATCTTGAGCAACGGCTCAGAGATCGACTTGGATACTGTGAACCTGCTGTAACAACGCGAGTAGATTTGTCTTGGCGGCACCCCGATATTCGATGAGATGCAGAAAGCGCTTGCTATGCTGTAAAACCAAACGTACTTCGGAGCAGACGGATACTGTCAAAAGTGTTGAAAAGCGCTGGATCCGCGTTGATGCGTGCATTGCATCAGTCGATGCGACGCGTGTGATTTGAAGGATGTCTTTCGGTAAATCTGTCTGGCCTTATAGCAGAACTTTGCATTTGACGATGTCAAGGCTATAGCAATAAATGCAGCGCTACGCATCAGCCTCTTCAGCAGCTCTTGTTTGTCAGCTGCGTCAGACCTAAAGGGAGCTATGTCATCCATATTACAATTTTACCATACGGCCCTCCCGCTTAGAAATGACCCCGGACGACTTGGATCAAGGTTGAAGAGAATTATTCATGAGCATTTCGACCAAAAACTGACGACAAATACAAATATAGGCAAATTTAGCGAATTCCGTCCGCCATGGCGAAACCAAGGGAAACTTCAGTGGATCTTTACAGGCAACGTGTGTCGTTGTACATATTTTAGACAAGAGAGAAATTTCTGTGGTACACGCTTTACTGATGAACACGGCCACGTTTAAGGGCGGTTAAGAGAATATCTGGTAAGCTGTACCGTACTCAATTTCTATTTGCATCAACTACGGTCCTCGTTATCGGAAAAGCAGGGTTCACTTCCATGGAAATCGCGGTCAACGTTATGTTGCGGGTTGCAAGCCATCTACACAACGTGTACTTCGACAAGACCCACAACATTTGGTAGACTGTTTTTCGAATGATGGTATTCGTATACTTATCTAGGTGTATATAATTGTCTAGTGAACCCGCTTCCTGCGAAGCATCCAAACTGATGTTTAATTGTCCTTTGCTAGCAAAGGTCGTTGAACTACCGTACTATGCACATATCAGCATCTTGTAGTCGGTTGCGATCACACAGTTACCACGATGCTTTTCACACGACGTCTTTAGGCACTTTACAAAGATGATAAAGTACCTCGGTGCATTCTAGTCGAAGGGCTTTTCTTTTCCGTGCCAAATGACGCCACACAGAGAGGTTAAAACCATCGCTGTTAGGACACCGCCAACTTTCGGCGTCAATTTTGGAAGATCATAGGCAACAGATGCTTTATTCCGCATACGTTGCGCTGGTTCGTGTAGGATACTGTTCCCTGTTGAAACCGTCATATCAGTGTCTAGTGAGCGTTCCAACTACCCAAGTAGCAATACAGTGGTGCTAGATCGACATAGCTGCTCTTCACAGTGTTCGGCTTAGCATAACAGTCTAAGCGATAGAGCATCACCAACTAGTTCATTGCTTCTGGTCAATTTTTCACTCACGGGAGCCTTTTTTGATAAGTGAAGCAACTACTTTGGAACTCTTCCAGAGTATTTATAATGGCATTGGAATGTATCTTCCAGATATTTATTATCCACTCCTCGTAACGTATCTAAATCATTTTAAAGTGGATGCATTCAAATTGATCGTTCGAACTCCATGTCAAGGTACCAGTCTTTAATGAATTAAAGTAGTTAAAAATGTAGGAAATTGGCTGTGGTTCTAATAGGTTGCATCTGTGTGTTCGCTTGGAAGAGCGCGAGGTGTATTAGTTAACATCTCCCAAGTCTTCAGCCTAAGATTCTGTCAATGCTGAATAGTAAACAGTCACCTTAAATGTGGACAATTGTAGTTACTTGATGCAAAAGGTAAATATTAGTTAGCTGTAAAGCAAACGACAGCTCACAGTCAAAAACGGCGAAACAAATTAGAATTCAGCCAAATTCGTGTAATGCTAATGAGCATTTGGAAGTAAAAGCCACGCGTATCACACCGGAATATTTAACGAAAGACCAAGTCGAGACCTGCTATAACGGTGGTATTTGCATAAATCCATTGTAGCAAAATATAGAGTAGCTAAACGATTTTCAAACTCCAAGGAATGCAAACATTTCACGCTCAGATCCATGACCAACCCGTGAGTTCAAGCGTGTGCAGGAAACAATGAAATCCAAGTGAATGACAGAGGGCTTATGGTAAGAATCCCAATGAGACACTGGTATGCGTCCGGCAATTAAAATGTGCTACGGCGAGCTCTGGTATACCTAGCTGTACAAACTGTGAGAGTTACACAACTCGATCAACTCATGGGAAACAATGCCACGTCGGCCAGGTCGAACGAAGGGGTACTCTTGTGTAGGCTTGAAAACAAAGTAGGACGGGGATGGACTGGAAATCGGACACTACGTCGCACAGTATTGGCGTCATGGTAGGTGGCGTTGGAACAGAAAATGGACAATGGGACATGCACACGGGTGATGCGTGCTGGGCCATTAGACTGGCCAAGGTAGAAGTAGGCATTTGACTGGGATGGGTGTTGGGTAGTCGCAAATACGTTCTATAAGTGGTATCTTCGCGGCACAATTTATGACGTAACTTAGGATACGTAGCTTAACCTAATTAGGTGTACAATGCGTGGCAGTCGTTACATAGGTTGAACACATTCTCACACTTCAGTCTAAATGTTTCATGCTCATCAGATTATGAATCGCCAGTGTGTTAAATGTCTCAAAAATTAGTTGCTCTTGAAAGCACCAGATTTGTATTTATTGCATGACTTGCCAGTAATGCGTACAGTCTTGTTCCGTTAACGAGAGTTAATAGTGAGAGGACAGCTTAGCTACACACTCTAACGCATACCTCTCGGCCACTCTGGATAACGTTTGTACACTTTGTAGTTGAATTTAAGCCACAGTAGGTACTGTGTTTGTCACTTCTTCCTGCGTAAGTCTATTCGGTTTCTGTTGACTACCTTTCTTTGCGTGCCTTTTTTGCATATCGTCATTTGTACTAACGCTTTTTTGTATTCTACATGTTTTGCTCATGATATTCGCCGTGGAACAAAATTAATATTATTGGATCAAACTGGTGGAGCTTACTTGTTAGGTTACTCATTACCGACTGGCAGTAGCAATATTTTTCACTCTATTGCAAACCTGCAATAAACAGCTTAAATGCTTGCAAATTCTAGCCGCTCTCTGGCTGCTTTAAGAAGCTTTTACGTCAAAAGCGAAATGTCCTGTGCCCAACAAATAGATTAAGAGGTCGTACACTAGTTCTACTACAATCAAACCTGGTTGCTTTATTAGCTTGGTGATCATGGTACTTTGGTGATCTGTTTTCCAATGCCCATCTGAGGATTCTGTCGTCATCTGTTAGCGATATTTAGTGCAACGGCTGCAACTTCAGACTCAGTAGACGCCAAAAGTACCTTAAACATACCCTGTGATGAAGCATTAGTTAAGCATTGGATTATCACATAACGCAAGTTGTGCGCTGCGGTCTCTCATAAACCTTGAATCAAACAGTGCACAATTTGCTTACTGTGTCTACATGTTTCGTTTAATCTTCAGCATTCGCTCACTTATATGACTCTCACGCATCCTCCGAACGCCAAGTCAAATGTCCAACTATGGTGCAAACTGAAAGACAGAAACGTAAGTTTTGGATAAGGCTGCAATATAGACATTGCATCCAAAGATTTGTAACATAAATGCAAAAACAGTGTGTAGGTAATCGATTGCATTATTCCGTTTTTTTGGAAAGCTATCTTGAAATAACGCATAGCGTTATTATATTTGCCAACATGTCGAGGGTAAGTAATCAGTCTTATGTAGTATAGTTCTCTAAATTAGCTTCTGGGATGCAAAGTATGCCCGTCTTACCGGGAGTAGAATTGGCCCATGCAAGCCTTGTACTGCTCTCTAAGCTGGGCATTTCTGTTGCAGACATTCCGTTACTAAGCGAGTCAACATCATCAGTGTGTCGAGCAAATTCAAAATCAAGTGAGAAATAATTCCCAGAGACCACATCAGAAACAGAAAGGAACGAAGAAGCTTGTTTTCAGGGCTTCATCAACAGGCCAATACAACCAGAATAAATCAAGCTAGAAGAGACACAATGGGTTTAAATTGGGTCACTGAAGCAGAGTAACTAATCGATAAGTCTAAGTGCTTGGTCTGGTTGAGGCGCGGTCAGGTGAAGTGACGTGACTGCCATTGTCAATCGCGTCGGTCTGAGGCCAAAGCCGGGTCAAAGTATGGAAGAGCATTTTTCAGTGTGTACAATTTCTCTTGCTCGTGTCGAGCAAACAGGCGACTCTCAGTGCTCGAGAGCGTTGCACAGCTTGGCTCTACAGCAGCGCGAGGAAGAATGTAACGAGTGTAGTATTGAGGCACCTAGTAGACTCCGGCCATCAAATCCATCTGCATGACGCATTCACAACGATCTACTGTGCCCCCGGACGTAACACACGGGCAATCAGATGTCGCCTGCTGTCGGCAGCAGAGGCGATCGCAACACCGCTCTATAACCCGGATCTATGTGCATAGATAATCTTGTCCATACTTTAACCCTGCCTTGGCCTCAGACCAAGGCGATTAACAACGGCAGTCACGCCACTTCACTTGACCTCGTCTCAACCAGACCAAGCACATAGACTTATTGATTAGTTACTCTGCTTCAGTGACCCAATTTCAATTCTAAATCATTTAGTCTTTCAAGCTACCACCTGATTCAAATGGCACATGTAATTTGATTTCCAATGCTGGTTAAAGAGACGAAATGTCCCATTATTAGCGCAAAAAGTCTTGTTTTTATCTTTTCAAGGTGATGTTAAATCTAGGTAACCTTTCGAATGGCAACTGATAGGCGGAAAACTGATGGCTGTCTGTTTTTCAGCTTTCTTTAGTAGACAGTGGCGTAGCATCTACTTTTGCCGCCGGGGCGGTTGAAAAATGTTTGCCCCCTCCTGGCAGTTGCAAATCCGTGAACCCACATAATGGCGAACAGCCATTTAATATTTCTTCTCAGAGAATAACAACCGACGAGCAAATTTGGTGGTGCTGCTGCAAATGCAGGAATGGAATTTTCAAATACGCTTTTATTGCTTTACACGCGGCATAACTATCGATAACACTATCAAAATTGAGTCCATCGGCCAGCTCCCTCTCAATGGAGAGAACTGCCAATGCTGTGAGCATTGTCTGGCTCATTGCTGACCGAAGTTTGAACTTTATTAGCTTAACTATGAAGAAAGAACGCTTACAGCTGGCAATGCTAATTGCCCGGGTGAGAAAGAGACGCAACAAGACCACAATATTTGGTGCAGAAGCCTTAACGCGATATGGATATATGATGCTGAAAGGTTTAAACGATCCACTGATTTTGTTGCTCCCTAACATTGTCACAATAAAACTGCAGTCGTCTCCTTTCGGCATAGAACCCCTTTTTCTATATCCTCATCAACTTTGCTAAATGAACAGTGATAGTTATCGTCAGGCAGATTCGACGGAGTAAGGAAAGCATATTTATTTGCATGTTTATAAACCTACTGAAATCCACGACCTTTCATCAGTCAACCTGTCAATGATAGACAGCATTACGCGTTTCAATTCCGCATCAAATTTGTCGTTGTGTCAAACAATTCTCCCCTATCCATTCGTTTTGTTTCTGACGAATTTGATGCTCCATGTTTATCCCCAAGCATTCATTGCACTGTCCACCATCTTCTCCCAGTTTTAAAGAAGGCAAACAATTAACGCTGTGAATTAAACAAAATTTTACTGCAGATCCAGCTATTTTGTTTGAAAATATTGCTGTGCGTCATTGATTTCTGGGAGAACATAACACCAGAGCCTCAGAAGCGAAATAAACGGAAACGATTGTACCGAGACGAAAAGTAAAGATGCAACTGAACTTGTGGCCGAATTTTCTCCTTCCTCGGTGAGCTGTTCCACAGCAATGACGATTTACGGGTGTTTCTTCATCACATTGTTGACAGCGTCTACCCTACTACTCCGTTTAGTTCCTACAGCCCGCTTCATATTTAGACAGGTCATCTGAATCCTGACGTTTCAGCGGTAGGTAGATACAGAGAAGCATGATAATAGCCGGTCTATCGTACCAATAAATATACCAAATTGAACCGTCACAGAAGCTGCACGCACACAAGCCAGATTATGTGAATGGTTTGTTCATTACACAAATTGCGTTTCCGTGTTGATTTCATAGATCCGTCTCTGGCACCCGCCATAAAAGCATCATTATCAAATTCTTGACCACGGCGATCATCAAACTGAATTCTATTCCCATCTAGCCCCTTCAAAATCAGCCCAGAAATCGCTGCACTTTTGCTATTCATCTCAATGAAGCGGAGAAACGACGCCACCCTCACTACCTTTTCAACAGTTTTCACGTGTAGCACCTTACTCATTACATATTTGGTGAAAAACGGGAGCAAAAATACTTGATTTGCTTGATCTGCTCTATGATTTTCTCTCTTACTTGGTTTGTCAGATTGCACACAAATTCATTTTGAACTTAAGGAGACAAATATTAAGTGCTGATTTTTGTTCCCAACTGCACTGTCACCAAATGTTCACGAAATACAGGGTCACCTTTGACCAACAGAGTTACCAATTCTAAGACATTTCCACTATTTTCCAGCTCTCTTTTGTCATCATGAATGTGTTCTCGGAGAGCACGAGAAGGTATGTTCTGCTCGGTGAGAAACGAGATCTAGTAATCGAGTTAAAATTTTACTCCAGCTCTTTGTTTACTTTGCTACAAATACTTGCTCCATTTTGGTAACTGGCTTTCTTTCAACCAGTCGGATCCCAAGTTTCTTCTACTACAGGAACGCCTGAGCAGGTATTTTACTATATTCGTGTGCATATACTTTATGATTTAATTTCGAAAAACCCGAAATTTTGTTAAGGTTTTCATCCCAGTAGTTCACAAGCTACACAGCAGAGCCTAGTCCGGGAAAGCACCAGGCGCGTTTCTCCCTATTAGTTAGTTAGCAAATTGTGTAACCCAGCCAACGTCCTCATGGTTCAGTGGCTTAAGCTGCTAGCTAGTTGGCATCCGCCTTCAGCGGTCATGGATTCGATCCTCCTTAGAGGACCGAGAAACTGCGCACCACTGACGAGCCCCAATAGAGCAAAACGCGTCTGGTGCTTTCACGGACTAGGCTCTGCTATGTAGCTTGTGAACTTCTGGGAAGAAATCCTTAACAGAATTACGACTTTTCTTGCGCTACTTACCAGTAATTTAAAATAAATAGTCTCTCCTGGTTTCAAACAGCTATGGATATAGCGTCTAGTGAGAGGACATCATCACTTCGCAGGCTAACCAGTCAGTGACAGTGGAAGATAGTTGGTGCTATATCCCAGTTAGTTTTGCAAAACTGTGTAGTCCAGCCAACGTCCCCATGGCTCAATGGCCTAAGCTTCTAGCTGGTTGGCATCCGCCTTCAGCGGTCATGAGTTCGATCCTCCTTAGAGGACCGAGAAACTGCGCACCACTGACGAGTCCCAATAGGGCGAAACGCGCCTGGTGCTTTTCCGAAATAGGCACTGCTACGTAGCTTGTGAACTACTGGGATGAAAACCTTAACAAAACTACAACTAAAATCCTGCTACTTACCAGTGAAACTCCCGAAATCTGCAACAGTCGCAAAACTAGACGGTCACACAGAAAACAGTCTGCAGTAGAGGCAATACAGGGACTCTTTGGTCAGAGAATACAATATCCATGTTCGCATTCTCTTCTCACCGTTTCGCGAATCCCAAAAATACCAGTTCGTTGTAAGTTGACTAGCTTCACCATTTGTATTCGTTCCACTCAAACAACTTTTAACATTCATGATCGAGATGCTGCACAGCAATAGATCCCAGACGGACAATCATAGTGCATATTTCGTGGTCAACCTTAGCAGACCACAGACCGATATCCGTAAAATTAGTTGATGTGCTTGTTATCGTACCAATTAGTGGTTGCCTTTTCAACTCTTCAAATTCGCTTGGACCTGCATAGGTATTGCATATATTTCCCACTGCATCAATGCTGTTATTCTATCTTTTGGTTGATGTATTTTTCGTTGAAATAGCAACTTCATCTTCGGCCTCAGCACGAGTAACTCCTTTACTGTGTGTCAGATCGTCCATGGAGGTATTTTCGATGGATCTTAATTGCCCACATTCGTGCTCTTTTGCCTCCTCTTCTTTGGCCCTCTTCTTTTTAGGGAATGCCGCACCACTTTCCTTCGCACACTTCCTTAATGGATCTGTACTAAAAATTTACGCAAATTCTGAAGAGATGCAAAAATAAAGTAGCCATATAATTCTCACTACTAAACGATCAAACAAAGACGTAGATCATAATAACGGTAAGGGACTAAATAGTCTGATTCATTTAGCAACCCGTTTTCACCGCAATAAAATAGTAAAGGAGTTACTGTATAATGATTAATAACACCAAATATATAAACCTGTGTAATTTACTTTTACACATAACTCCCCGTCAACAGTGTTCAAACTTTTTCAAATAGCCAACCAAATAGGATTTCAAATAACTGGTGGACACACTAACGTCGCATCCATACGTGACGTTTTATAAGCTTACTCAAGCGAAGGAGCAACGACAAAATTTCCTTGACGTGTTGGCTTGTTGATCGCATAATCCACGCTCAATATGCCTCTCCTAAGTGTATTGAATCAAAAGTGCTTTCAAATTGCTCCTAAGGATATCGTGTTCCTCCACAGGTCTTTCATGATGGTCTGTAACTCTTTCAACTTGAACCTGACGAGTGTAAACACTTCTAAAAATTACCTACTGTTCTTTGGGTGACTAATCGCAAATAAGCAGATATTATAGCAGGTGAACACACATATTGGGATGATATTGTATGATTTGGCCACTTAATAGACCGTAGCATTTAGGACAGTTCGTGCCCGCTGGCTTCAAGTTGAACACGTTATGGATCATCGTGCAAGATCGATGGAGGAACATGATTTCCTATGAATTCATTTGACTGAGTAGAGGTATACTGTTCCAAAACTGCAAGCTTATAGAGACAGCAGACGGTACCAGTGTAATAAACTTGAGGTTTACTCACACCGATGTCCAAAGAGGATTGTCAGATAGAACACTGGAACAGATGAGGTCACCGAGGATGCCACTGAAATTATAATCGTGCGTGCATGACGGAGCTAATTACAATGCACCTACGGCGAAATATGCGCAGTAAAAATTTTAGCGCTAGTCGCATTTTGGAACATGCAGGACTTAGGGCAGAATAAACACGTGAATGCCGCACAATGAGCTGAGAATAAACTGCACTTTGATTTTCGATGGAATGTGTGATCGTTTGGGACACTGAGGTGAACGTGGTGAAAATAACCACAGTGGGACAAGGGAAGAAGATTAGCATAGGTGTGACAACTAGCGATAAGGTGCTTTTGGTCATACAGAGTACCATTAAAATAATCAAAACTCAGCTTAACTCGAAATTTTACCTATCATATTAGGTATCGAAAACTTAACGGTACTAAAAATTCCGCCCCCTATTAAATGCCAGTAGGGGCGAACCGCCCCCGCATTTGCTTGCTGCTTCTGTCAATAGATTACGATTTCCATTGCTTTGGTCATATTTGGAAGTGCACTGCCAATGTGCGCGTTCAATTGTCTTGCCTATCTCATTTCCACTAGCTTCAGTATACCTGAGGTGTCTAAAATAAGTATCTCAAATGGATTGTGACTCAGTTGTGACTCGTTGCCCTAGGGCCGATGGCCGAGTGGTCTGCAAGCCTGACTTGCAACCATAAGGTCACTGCTTCGAATCCGCTTAGGGGCGTGGCATCCTCGTGGTATATTCAGCCCACGCGCGACTGGTGGTGGTCCCGTGGAAGCGAAGCTCCGTTAGGGCGTAAAACTGGCGATTTATTTATTTTTTCATTAAGTTATACTGGGTCGACCATTCGGGCTCCTTAAGAGCTACTCCTGTAGGACTAGTTAATACTAGTCCGAGACGGTGCGCGAAAGTAAGCGCGGATATCAGAAGGCAATGGGTGACGGACACAGCGGATTTTATTCGATGGGCTACAATAAGAAGCGGACGGATGAAGTGAGGCGAGAGCGTACACGTGAGCGCGGGAACTTGCAAGGCAGTTGTGTGTCGAGCCGGTTGTAAGGACGATTAAAACAAGAAGGAATAATGTACAATCCGTCAACAAGTAAAGTGTACATGAAAGATAAGAGTTATGTTTTGGGCGCTACACTCCTACCAGATTGGTCAATGGTTAGACGTCAGGCAATCTCCGCCTCCTGGTCCTCTACTTTGAAGGTTTGAAATGAGATGGCGTCCACTTCTGTAAAACTGAATCGTCGCTACATCCGGTGCCTTGTAGAGAGGTATTTAACACAAAGGCTTTGTTTGAGGACCCTAATCGTTCTCCCGTCTAGATCTGGAGGCTTTGGCAG